TCCCTTACTACATTCTTCTGTCCCTTCCTCTGTCCTCCTTCCCTCACTCTCCCTCTCCCTGCCTTTCTCTTTCTTGCTCCCTTCCTGCCTCCCTCCCTCTTCCATGCATGAGGCCATGGCCAAAGTCTTACCCTCCTCCCGGGACTCGGGTCTCCCATGTGTACGCATTCTCGCCCTGCCTGGGTGGCTAGCTGTGCTGTCAAGGTTCAGGGGCCAGCCTTGGGTCTCCCATGCTAGCATGTACCATGGGCGGGGGTTTAGTGTCATGTAGGCGTTCTCAATGAGGCCCCTCCCTCCAGTGCAGATGCTCTGAATGTCCTCCTAATCATCGTGGATGACCTGCGCCCCTCCCTGGGCTGTTATGGGGACAAGCTCATAAGGTCCCCAAACATCGACCAACTGGCATCCCACAGTCTCCTCTTCTGGAATGCCTTTGCCCAGGTATGTGGATGGGTGCCTTTGCTCTAGGTGTGGATGGGTGCCTTCTGCAGTGAGGGTTGGAGGTCCTCTCGGCTGTTGTTAGATGACACTAGTGGTGCCAGGCATCTGCTTATTAGACGGAAGCATCACCTGGAAAATGGCAATTGCGATAACCTGGTTGTCCACTGACAAGGAAGCTTGTGCCTCAAGGGTGCCCCTCCTCCTTGTGTGCAGGGTGCGCCGTGGCCCTAACGTGCTCAGGATGGTCCTGACTTGCTTCCTTCACCAAAGAGGGGGTTGCCTGGTGCTGAGAAAGAAGGGGTGCTGCAGAATGCCACCCTCAGATCTGCCGATTGGCCTTGGGTGAGGGCCAGCCAGCTTGTCATGGCGGCGCTCCTTCCTGAACCTCCTCACAGGGCCACCCCCAGGAGCCTCGCCTGCTCTGTGCACCTGTGAGACACTGTCGTGTAGAAGGAGGGCACGATCATCTGCTGGGATGAGGGGCTGAGTCCTCCTCTTCCTCTCTCCCGGGGACTTAGTTCTGGCGACTGGGGGAGGCCCAGATCCCACTGGTCGGGTTTGAGACGTGATGACTCAGCTGCCAAGCATTTGCTGAGGACTCAGAGGTTGCCTGGTTATGTCTGAGCTGCTGGCTGTTTTCCTCTGAGGGCATTTTCCTCTGCTTCTGCTCCCTAACAGCAAGCAGTGTGCGCCCCGAGCCGCGTGTCCTTCCTCACCGGGAGGAGACCCGACACCACCCGCCTGTATGACTTCAACTCCTACTGGAGGGCACACGCCGGAAACTTCTCCACCATCCCCCAGTACTTCAAGGAGAATGGCTACGTGACCATGTCGGTTGGAAAAGTCTTTCACCCTGGTACTGCTTGCTGTCCAAAGTCTGGGTTCTTTTCTGTTTCTTGCCCGAGTGTGGGCGGGTCCCCTCCTGGGGTTGGGGCTGTCTTTGCGGAGGCCTCTTGGGGCCGGGTAGATACCACCTTACTCACCGCTCGCTGCCTTTTACATAATATCGCTTCCCAACCTGGCCTTCTGTTCTGCCCCAGAGTGAAAAAGGGTCGAAGGAGTTTTCCTTCCTCTCAGAAACGTGTCGTGGTGCTGTTTGGCTCCTGGGGTGGAAGGAAGTGCCGTGGATAGGGAAGCGGCAGTGTCAGGTGTGAGTCCAGCTCTGCACCTGACCCTGCGTATTCTAGGGTCCTGTCGGCAAAGTTGGGGATCTAGGCTTAGAACGTCTGAGGACGCCCCACGTGGCCGGCGCTGCTGTTGCTGTCTTGTTGCCCAGTGAAGGGGCCGCTGCCCGCGGCCTGTGAACTAGGCCAGCAAAGCAGTGTAAACTGGAGGGCCGTGGGGTTGCAGGGGCTGCCAGTCAATACTGCGGCACTGCCTGCTAAATGGTTCTTTAATGCCAAAGTCGGAGGGCTGAAGCACAGGCAAACTTGAAGACTTTCAATGTGCGGAGGAATCGCATGGTTTGACAAAAGTTTGGCAGACAAGGGAAGTATGATGTAAATATAAATCAGTTGTATGCCGACCAGCCTGAGAGCTACATTTTGATGCCTCCCCACCCCCTACGGGGTGTGTAACTTTGCTGATTTGAGACGATTCTGTACATATAATTTTCTGTTGTGACTTGTTAAACATAACATTCCCATGCTATGAGGCAGTAATTTTGAGTGACAGCACAGTAGTCTGTCATACAGGTGTGCTGTATTTCCTGCAAGTTGTCTCAGGTCGTTTCCGTCTCACGCACAGCTGGGACGAATGTCTCTGGTGGCAGAGTGAACTGGTGGAACTGGTGGATCAGCGGTACCGCGTATCTGGGCCTCTGGGTTCCAGTTCCACCAGTGGCACTTCTTAGCTGTGCAGTTGACCTCGGGCAAATTATTCACCCTCTCTGAGCCTCAGCTTTCTGCTCTGGGAAGCTGGCATCATAGCCTCCTTGATTCTCTCACAGGGGAGTGTCCCAGTGCATGTCATTCAGCACTGTGACAGTGCGTTGAAAAGCCAAGCTCTATATGGACCGCAGTGCTTTTCGTTAGGGGCTTGACCGTTTTCAGTAGTGTTCCCCTCGCTCACCCTTTTGGGTTCCTTCCTAGGAGCCTAGTGTGAATCACCAGGGCTTTGGGGACTGGGATGTCAGATACTCAGGACTCAATGAGACACCTAGAGCGTTGGCTTTAGGGGATTTATCATCTGGCCTATGCCCCTGATTTTTAGAAAGAAGCTGAGGTCTAAAGACAGGAGATATTTCGCCAATTGCTGACAAAGTTTTAACTTAGGGTGGGGAGGGCACCAAAGGATGCTTCATGCTTCACTTAAAGCCTTTCTCTTTTCCTCCCTCAAGGAATATCTTCTAATCATAGTGATGATTCTCCATACAGCTGGTCCATTCCTCCTTATCACCCCTCCTCCGAAAAGTATGAAAATACCAAGGTAAGGGTGTGAAAGGGTTACTGTACTAAAGAGCAGCTGCTTTTCCGCTGTCTGGCAGTTTAAGGTTACTGGTTGAGAGGACTAGAGTTGGGGTCTTTAGCATCAGGTCCATTGGGGGAGGTGGCTTTGTTACAGAAGCAGGAGGGTATGCTTTGTTTTGGAACCTTATGCTCTAGTGCGTAAGGTTCATTTAAGGGCTCCCGGGGCTCATTGTGGGTAAGGCTCTGTGCTCAGGGTTGTAGAAGATGCGGAGACCTAGGAGGGAGAAGAGCTACCTGTGTTCCAGGAGCCTCAGCCTGGAGTAGGAGAAAGGCATACCATTTGTCTGTCAGTCTGTCTGAGGCCTAGTGTATATGTTCAGGCGCTGAGAACTTTCACAGGGGTTTTAAAATTTTAGAGCACTGTCGCCTTGCCAGGAGGGTGGAACTGACTGGGACTGTTGTGCTCCGCAGTGCTATTTGGGAAGGCCACGAAGCTGAGGACTGCTGAGAAGGGGGCTTTGCCCCTCAGCACCGTCCATATCTCTCAAGAAAGCTCTGCCAAGTGGAAGGTAGGACCCAAGAACAGGAGAGAGAGTTCCTTGAGAACATGAGCCTCAGCAGGCCAGTGGACCGGGACTTGATGCTTCTTTAGACTAAATGCAGAAACCAACTTCCCAGGCCACACCCCAATGTATAAATGAAGCTAAAACTCTCATTTCAAAAACTCAGAAAACCAGCTGCAGGGCTGAGAAATGGCATGCTCCTGGGAGGTATGTAGAGGCTGCTGTGGAGAAGGGTGTGGATTTGGGAGGTTGGTGGGGTGGTGAGGAGTAGTCAAAATAATTGAGAACTTTGCCTTTCAGAATGCAGCGAAAGCCAAGGGCTCTGGCCTTTGGCTTGTGGCTTGAGTCTTAACAGAATGAGAGTGGAGGACCCATCTGAATCCCTCCGTTCCCTCAAGCCGCCTTGTTACATTTTATTGGCTCACTTACGAATGCGGGCCCCTGTCCACCATTCCCCACATGTGCTCTCAGAGCAGCGGGTCTGACGGGACCAGATCCTCCATGACAGCTGCAGATTGCGTGAACGTGGAGGGGAGTGTGCCGGGAGCCTGGTGCTGGGCCGTCCTGTCCCTGGGCCGGGTGGACAAGGCATCTCTTGGGAGGACGGTCCTCTCAGATGGACCAGCAGCTGCCGCAGCCCCTGGGTTTTGTGAGGTAGAAATGATATTGTCACCCTGACTTAGCCTGTGGCCAACGTGGCCACTTTGGAAAATGAAGTGGTGTCTGTTCCGTGCATGGTGTGGTCGAGGTTCTGGAAATTCCATGGACTGTCACCTCATCCAGTTGACTGAGACCCTGTCCCGTGCAACCCTTAGTCTGTCTTTGAAATCACAGATTTTTTTCTTTTGCTAAGAAAAATTTATGGTACAATTCTTATACCATAAAAATCGCCCTTTTAAAGTGTACAGTTCACTGATTTTTATATTGTCACAGCGTTGTGCAACCATCAGCAAAAAGAATCTAAGACCGTTTTCATTACCTCAAAACTCAGCCTTATACCCATTATCATCCACTGCCCATTGCCTCTCAACCCCAGACCGTGGCAGCAACTGATCTTTCTTTCTCTTTGGATTTGCCTATTTTGGACATTTCGTATCGGTGGAATCGTGCAGTATCTGATCTTTTGTGTCTGGCTTCTTTCACTTAGCATAACGTTTTTGAGGTTGATCTATGTTGTAGCACGGATCAGAACTGTATTACTTTATATAGAGAAATAAAAATGGGCAGATTTCTTGAGTAGACATTCCATCTGCAGAAGATGTACCAGTTGCCATAAGGACGCAGAAAGATGCTTAACACCTGGTCAAACACATTTTTTTAAAAAATTTATTCTGTAGTTGGTGGACGTTTGGGTTGTATTCACTTTTTAACTACTACGAATGAAGCTGCTGTAAACATTCCTGCACAGGTTTTTGTGTGGACTTAAGTTTTCAGTTATCTTGGGTAGAGTTGCTAGGTCAAGTGTTTGTGTGGACTTAGAATGTTATTTTATTTATGTATTGTTGTGGTATTTACGTAGGAGTGGAATTGCTGGGTCATAAGATGATTCTATGTTTAATGGTTTGAGGAACTGCCAGATTGTTTGTCAAAGCAGCTGCACCATTTTACATTCGCGTCAGCAATGTATGAGGATTCCAGTTTTTCCACATTGGTTAACACTTGTTATTTTCTATCTTTAAAATTTATAGCAATCCTAGGCAGTATGAGTGGGTATCTCATTGTGGCTTTGATTTGCATTTCCATGATGAGTGAAGATAGTAAGCATCTTTATGTGTGCTTATTCGCCATTTGTATGTCTTCTCTGGATAAATGTCTCTTCAAGTCCTTTGACCATTTTTTAATTGCCTTCTTTTTTGTTGTGGAGTTGGAGTCCGATTTTTTTGATCATTAGTTTACTCGGGCTTCCTTTTATTGTTTACCAGAGACAGAGGATTAACAGCAGGGAAGTAAGAGCTGGTGGATTTCTGGCCCTTCCCTTGAAGAGCAGAAACGCTTCTCTGTTTTAGTTTTACTTCCTGTGTGCCTGTCCTGAATGACTAATACACAACGGGCTGTGGACAGAAACGTGAAATCTATTGTGTGTGTAAGCTTCGTGGCTTCTGTTTCTTGGGTTTCAAAGGCTGATTTCATGTGTTTTGTTTTGAAAGACATGTAGGGGGCCAGACGGAGAACTCCACGCCAACCTGCTTTGCCCTGTGGATGTGGCAGATGTACCTGAGGGCACCTTGCCTGACAAACAGAGCACTGAGCAAGCCATACGATTGTTGGAAAAGATGACATCGTCTGCCAGTCCTTTCTTCCTGGCCGTTGGGTATCACAAGCCGCACATCCCCTTCAGATACCCCAAGGTGAAGAGCTGGCCGAGGGCTGATCCCACACAGCCGGGACAGCTGTGTCATTTGCTAAATGAGGGATTCTTATAATGAAGGTGGCCACGTGCCGCCATCCCCGGTCACCAGGGGTGCCTGACGGCCCTCGTGTACTCAGTGGTGTGAAGATAGGATTCAGAGATCACAGCTCGGAGGTTGACTTAGGACAAAGAAGAACCTTGTTGGAAACCCTTGGCCTTCTACTGCCCTGCACTGGAGGTCTTTATTTCTTTCCCTTGAATTCAGTGTGCAAATGTTGGGTTGATTGGTGCGATCATCACAGAGAAGTGAGTTAGAGCTTGCTGCCAAAGCCTGCAGTGAGGGATGGTCCTTGACACACAATTCCGGGGAATGTTTTCAGTAATCACCTGTCCCCTAGGGGCTGTGCAGTCAGACTCGTGACACACAGGGCACTGCGCTGCTTGTTGGAACCTCAAATCCTGTGTTTGCATGCATATCCTGTAGAGCATGGAATCGCTTCCTTTTTAAAACATCTTTTTCAGTGTTTTCCTATCATGTTTCCCCGGGCCCGAGCAGCCCCTTCTTTTGACTTCACAGAGCATGGCCCTTGCTTGCAACGAGAGTAGAGAGAAGAAGACATGGTGCCGGTATCTTACTTTGATTGTCCCAGGGGACCTTGGCATCCTAGCGGGAGCTGTCAGCCCCCTGGATGCAGTGAGACTCACTTCTCCTGCTTCTTGTTCAGAAAAGAGTTAATGTAGCAGGCCTGTCATCCTTTGAAAGTCCTGCTTACGAGCTTGGACCTTGGCTGGGGGCCTGGACCTCGGGAGTGTCCCCACCATTCCCAGAACTGATGAGCAGCTCTTATGCCTAAAGCCCTGCCCTGCTGCTTGGAGTCTGGGATGTGGAGTATGTGTAGGCAGTGGGTGGCCAGGTGACTGCCCTGGGAACAACCCTGGGTACTGAGGCTTAACGAACTGCCCTGGTGGCAGCATTTCACACATGTCATGACACGACTCATTGCTGGCAGCATTCACACCTTCGGTTTGACTTTGCTGACTAAGGACTCTGGACACCCGTGCCTGGTTTCCCCCAGATCTGTCCACGTGACTTTTCCGTTTCCTGAATGGCTTTGGTCTCCTTTCACTATCACCAGTCATAGCCCAGTATATGACCGTGCGCTGTCCTCTGAGCTCTGCCAGCGATTACCGACACTAAGGGTGGTTTGGGGAGCTGGCAGCACTTCTCCACACCTTTTCTAGTTGGACGGGAGGTGGCGATAGGGATAGGAGGACATTGGTTTGTATGAGGGAAGAGACCTGTTGCTGCTTGGTTTAGAGAAGAAAAGTCACGTGATTTTATTACAATTGGTATTTTGGGAGAGTGACCTAAGGCCTGACTTTCAGGTAGCGGGAAATATCTGGGGAGTGTTGGTGAGCCACCATGTAAGTAGGCATCACCGACATAGAGACAATCAATGTAAACACTGGTGCAGTTTCAGCCTTGCGCCTTTGCCAAAAGTGACAACCTGGTGGCTTTGTGTGCTTTTCCTTCAAGGAGTTTCAGAAGTTGTATCCCTTGGAGAACATCACCCTGGCTCCTGATCCCCAGGTCCCTGCTGGCCTCCCTCCTGTGGCCTACAATCCCTGGATGGACATTAGGCAGCGGGAGGACGTCAAGGCTTTGAACCTCAGTGTGCCCTATGGCCCAATTCCTGTGGACTTTCAGGTACCAAGGACTTATTTGAGGGAAGGGTTGGACACTTATGACATGATTTCATTGGTGATGACATTTTCCTCAAGACATAGGACTCCATCCATCTCGTCTTACTAAGAACCATCCCCGTGCTAAGCATATTGCAAAGTGCTGAGGTTGGGGGTGGTCTGGAGGCATTTAGGACATGGGAGTGCTGAGTGGATAAAGAGTCTCCCAGGAAGTGTCTTCACTTCCAAAGGGAGCATCTGGAGGTATAGTGATTCATTGGATGTGGGCACAGGTGGAGAAGAGGCCCGGGTCACCATCACTAACTCATGGGGGATGCTGTTTAATCCGGGCGAGAGTTCATCAGTTATAGAGTGGTGGGCAGCTCCTACACAGCCCAGAATATTCAGGTTGCTGGTACTTGCAGGTCCCCTCTGTGGGAAAGCCTATATGGGCTCCCGTCACTCTCAGGGCGGCTTTGTGAACAGCGTCTTGGCAAACAGGGAGCTGGGGTACCAACATGGCCAGTGCCATCCAGCTGCAATGTCTGCTGTCCCTTTGCCATGATGAGGGGGTGGAGCAGCCAGAGAGTTAGAATCCTCACACTGACTCATCAGCCACTCTCTCCCCGGAGTGCCAAAGACATGCTGACCAATGCAGTTTTGGGAATATTCCACATGCGGTCCCGCCCTTCTGTTAATGACGTGAGTACTCCAACAGGAAGTATACAATGGATGGAAGAAGGCAGTGTTTTCAAAGTGTGCTTCCTGGACCACCTGCTTCACGGTCGCCATGAGGTGATTATTAGAAGCACACAGTACTGGCCCTACTCGGACTTAGGGAACTGGCAGCTGGAGGTCAGGCCTGAGAACCTGCATTTCTAAAAATGCACACAGGTCACTCTGATGCACGCAGAAGTTTAAGAGCCATTGCCGTAGGGTACAGTTTGCAACAAAACATAATATGCAGGTATTTATTGCTGTCCACACTTACTAGGCACCTGACTTTGGAGAGCGAGATTTTGGGTGGTGAGGGGTGGATGTGCGTCCCTCACATCTGTTTCATTCCTGAGCTTCAGATGGCAGTGGTGAGAGTTTGGAAAGCAGTTTGTCTGGTTCCTAATTTCCTGTTTCAGCAATTTGAGGTAGCTCAAATTGCAGCTCTGAGGCTGTACCTGATACTATGTCAGTGACAGGCACTTAAAATGACCCTTTAAAGTGGACTGTGTGCCAGGAAGGGTACTCAGCATTGTATGCGTGCTCTCTCTTTTGGTCCCCATGGGAACCTGAGATACCTGTTCTGTCTGTTGTGTAGGCGAGGAAACTAAAGGCACACAGGTGTGGCGACTTGCTCCAGGTGGCACAGTTAGTGCCAGGAGAGCATGGGATCCCAAAGCCCCACGGTTTGTTTTGTTGGTTCTAAGCAGTCTGGTTCAGATTCCTTTTCTATTCCATACCAGCTGCACAATCTCTGTCAAGTCATTTTACCTCTCTGAGCCTCAATTTCCTTACCTGTAAAATAGAGGCAAGATGGAGACAGGTTTTCTGTGAGAACACCTACTTCGGAGGCTTTCAGCGGGGAGTACAGTGAACATGCTAAAGCATCTAGGACAGTGTCAGCTGCTTGGTGAAGGCTCCTTCAGCGTTCTCTCGTCCCCCATCCAGTTGGACTCAGAGTTGACAGCATGGCCCAGGGGCCCTCCCTGGAATGCTCATGTGTTGGTCCCTGCTCCACAACCACCTAGAACGTGGGCCCTGCTCACCATCCTCTTGCATCCGTGCCCAGGCCCCATCTCACTCAGCATTTCAGCCTGTCAGTTCTCTGCCCTTTTCAGCCTCCGGCCCTCTCACTGTGCTCCATGTGAGCCAGCCACATCAGGGCCTCACTTGGGAGTTTGCCACCTCCCAGGCCTGCTCCTCCCTGGCCACTAACTTGACAGCCTCTTCTTTTTGCAGTCCGCTTCCTCCGTGCCCTCGTTCCCCGCATACCTCCTGGGAATTCCAGGGTGTGGACTCCTGCTTTGCCCCTGTGTCTGGTCCTTTTTGGACTTCACTCCTTCTTTGAATAGTAGAGGTCCCGTGGCAGGCCACTTACTGTTCTTGCTGTCCCCTCAACATCTGCCCATTTATCCTTGCCCCACCTTCAATACCCTGATCATGGGATTGTTCAGCCACAGCCCTCTGCTCTCAGGCCTGAGTCCTCAGGGTGCTGGACAGAGTCCACACGACCGTGATGGGGAACACACACACCCATACACTAGCCCCAGCAGTCCGTGTGGTGCAGGCTGTCTGCCCAGCTCCTTCCAGCCCCTTAGGCCCCTCTGTCTGCCACACCCCTCTGCCCAGTCTCAGCAGATGACTGCACTACCTGTTTCAGAAATGGAGGCTAGTGGGCAGTCTGAGGGAGAGGAACACACAAGATGGACACAGGTACACATGTTAGCAGTGCCTCTTGCCAGCTGTGTGTCTGTAGGAAAGATAGTCAACCTGTCTGAGCCTCAGAGCCCTCCTGTGTAAGGTGGGAATGGTAATGCTCAACTTAAAGGGTGGATCGGAGGAGCAGATGGCACCCAGCACGTATGTGGTAAATGGTGCTGTTCATAGTGTCCTCACTGGTGGATGGAGTCGTGGATGCATGTGTTCTGGGCTTGTAGCCTTCTCCCCAGTCTTAGAAGAAGCGCAGCAGGGGCTTGGTGCCTCCCAGCTCTGTGCCCCCTCCTTCTCATTTCTACCAGCGAGATGTCCTCTACCCGCTGACTTCACACCCACCTCCACAGTTGCTCACATCTATCCCATCTTCAGAAGTCGGGCTTCCCTTGCCCCTGCCTGTTTCTCCTCTCTTCCCACTCTTGCTCTTCAAGGGGGAATGAGTGAAATGTGGTCTGTTCTGGCTGCGTCCATGGCCTCACTGTCCATTTGTTCTTCATCCGCCTCTGCACGGCCCTCTGCCTCCCCAGCCCACTAAAGAGTTCTCTCAGCTGGTCAGCACTGACCTTGTTGGCAAAGAAAATCCATCCCATAAGTGTGACCTTCTAAGACTCCTGCTGCTTTCTCACTGTTGGCAAGTAGCACTCCTCCTGGGCCCTGGGCTCAACGCCAGGACCCCCACTGTCTCCTTTGCACCCCTGT